GCTCTTGTCCCTTGCATTTTCAAGCGAAGACTAACTAATTCACACGTCCCACTCTCATGGGATACACTGTCGATAATGGCAAATGGGATAGCATTCCTAATGAATAGAGCTACTCCCCCTCCTTTACGCTTTTGTATTCTGTCGGCCCTTACTAACGTAAAACCCTCGAAATCAAGTTCCATACTATCTATAGCCTGTGTCAGCCAGGTTTCTGTAACTGCGATTATGTCTGGCTTTGTAGAGTCAATCTGTACACCTAGTTCCGATCGCTTATTAAGCTCCGGGCATTTGTGTAGCAGATCCGAAGCCTATTTAAGTGGCTTCGTGCTTCACCCAGAGTGGCTTCGGCATCATTCTCTGTCGAAGCCTTACAACCCGAAAATTTACAATTTTTAGGTCCTTTTCGCCAGCGTCTAACCTAAGTTGTAGTTCCTTTTCGGCTTCCCGTCTTTTTACACGGTCTGCCAACGGTAAGTCCTTTCGTATAAAGACTCCTGAACCCTTTAATTTGTGTCCATTCTGTAAAATTAGGTCACGTTCGTTCGAAGAGTTGAATACTACTTTAAGCAGTCTGGAATGATTTGGTTTCAAGTCCGCTAGACTCCCTAGTCTGTACACCTTTAGCAAGGTGACCCCGGTGATATTTTGAGGCATGAGTTGATTAAGCAGCTGCTTAATCAGCACAATGTCATGCTCAAAACGAGCTTTAGGTTCAGAGCTCTCGCTCTCCTTGATTCTATGAAAAATAGCTGATCTGTCGCTATGATCAGCTTTCGATTTTACGACTACTTTCGCGGGGGTAGGATTACCTTTTATATCGCTACTTTTTTCTTCCTTACAACCTGTACCCACTCGTCAACTGTGCTGGGAGAAGCAACAACAGTTGCATCAAACCTAGTGTTGGATTCTGGGGGGTTGTCGACGACCTGAGAGGTCAGGTTATGTTTATCGCTTGAAACTGACCGAGCCTTGTGATCGCGGCTTCTAGGCGTTTCCAGTGGGATCTCATCTGGGAGACGGGAAACAGAAGAACCTACTTTCCTTGATCTTTTATTTAAGGCAGGCCTCTTTGGAGACTACTTTTCCTTCTTTGACCGGCGTGAGTCATCTACTATCGAACTAACCTTAGTTTGCCTCATGTCGATTTGCGTGTCGACAGATCGAGTGCTGTTTGACGTGTTCCGACTACGCTTGCTAAAACACTTCTTTGCAGCATCAACCAGTGAGATGGCCTCGGCTAACAGGCTGTTTGCATCCGAACAGCACTGTTGACAAAGCCATACGCAACCTTTCTTACTGAACCGTCTGAAAGCCGCAGGCGTTAAGTTCGTGCAAACTTCGTGGTACCAGCTTTTGTACTCGTCGCACTGCATTCCGCTTTCAACGGGATAACGACAACCCGGACGTTGACAACTGCTCTTTTTACACTGTCCGGTCATTTAGGAGGGGTTCTTTTTTAAACTGTGATGATACTCAGAAACAAAAAAATTTATCAATGACCAAAAATGAAGAGCTGTAGATTGCTAGGACCAAAAGTACTAAGAGATACAATTGAAAATGAGGTACTTAAGAGTACCAACGACAAAACTAATTGAGAGAACGGTAAAAACGGTACTCTAGTCGAATACTTTAACTGAAATGAATTCAATTAAAGTGAAAACAGTAGTCTTGATACGTAATAAACGATCAAAACAATGAAATTTGCTCAACGAGGAAATATACCATTGTCCTTTTTTTAAAAAAAGAAGCTTTTTAGGGGAAAATCTCAAAATAGCCCTAAAATCGGGCATATATCTCTCAATTGATATGTCTCTCACATAGGGTCTTTTTTATATAATCGTAAATCTATTTTAAGCTGTTTTTTGTGTGAATTGGGATTTTTTCCGCAACAGTCATTGCCTCCATTTCTAACTTCATCGTATTCCATACATATATATGTATGGAATACGCATGTGTGGATACACATATGTGTATCTATCCAAGGGCAACCAATGTCAATAATTTAGTGGACATACGTCGTACTGTTCCCTTTTTCGCCAACTTGCAGAAGTGTAAACTCAACTTGTAGTTGCCAAGATGACGCATGGATGAATAAGCTCTTCTGGTTATTAGTATACAAAGATAGGTTTCAGATGTCAGTGCTAAAGCTCACGCTACCCAAATTTACAAATTCAGTTGTGATTGACGATTCATCACTGGGAAATAATGCAAATGAAACAGTAATTTAATTAACATTAACTACGTGACATTTTGGTCAATTAAGATTGTCGTTAAGGCTCTTGAACCCTAGGTAGGTTTTGTTTATGTTTTCTAAAAATAGTACTCTTAGTAAGTCAAAAGAAATCAACAGATCTCGAAAGCCATTTGAAATCCAATATGTCCTAATTAGATACTTTAAAAGTAGCGTGCGACTTGCCTTACCATTAAATTACTTATTCAAAGGCATTTTCCTATTCCACAATTTTCTTGTCTTTATTCTGGCGGATTCAAATTATGACTAATCTTTGGACTTAGAAGTGACGTTCGCAATGCCTAGGTCTTAGTTATTGGTAAATTATTCTGTTCTTAGGTCTGTAGAGAGTCCCTGATAGTACAGTTTGGTTCTCAAATTTACTGCTTGCCATGTAGTGATGGGGCCTTATAACGAACGATTCATTTCGCCAGTTTCAACTTATCTCTCTTTAGTCGCGGTAATATGGTGCAGTTCCATAATATGTCAACCGCCTGATTGTTTAGACATGTTGAATCTCGTATAAGGTCTGGAATTGTGATGTTTGTTCTCAGTAGTTAGTCTTTGTCATATTTGAGTCAAAATGATCCAGTCAGTCAACATTGTTAACGAAGAGTGCGTTTGTAATAGAAATAATGACATTTGTAAAATTTCAATCAGTAAAACATTGTATTTGTGACGTCCTCCAACCTAGTTGGTTCTTCAGAAAATAAATCAAGTTAAACTGACTCAAGTCCAAATAGAACAAAGTAAACAAGGCAGATTATTTGTATTACAATCAAAGTTAAGACTTATCCAAGCATGTTACGGTTATGTAGTTTCAAGCACGGTAATTCTTCGTGAGAATTACTTGTATGTACATTAATTAGCGGGGAAAATGTGAAACTTGTTATGTGGAAGTATACTCACTTTTTAACTGCTCGTTTTCAGCAACTTCTTCATGAAAAGTAAGCTTAATAATTTATTTTTGTGAATAAGTCAGTACAAGCTGCCCTATAATTCTAGGGATTTATCATATCTGGAGTTGTAACGCGTATAGTTTACAGTTGACATTAACTATACATGCCCATTCAATTTTTATCTCTACATTCCAAGAACTGTTTGTCTAACAATTATTCAAACTCTTAAATCTTAGTGCCATAGTATTTATCTTGGTCAAAAATAAACGTCAAGCTGTGAAGACATTAAATGTTGAGTTGAGCCGCTTAAGGATATTAAGATATCTATGCGAATCAGCTACTGTTATTGCTTAATATTCTCCGGACACTACTTCACTAGACAAGTTTTCAAATCAGAACACGGTTGAATAGGAACGAGATTATATTCCACATAACGAAGTTAAGTATAAGTGACAGTTATACTGTGAAAACGTTTAGTAAATTTATAATTTATATACCTTTTAACTCTGGTCGGCTAAAAACAGGTCAATCAGCGTGTCGTAACATCGTTCTGCTTGGAACATGCATTAATCCAAACTATGGTCTGCGGACGGGGAATGTATAAATTCCTTAGTTATTTTTGGAAGCATAAATATTATCAATAGTGAAAAATGTAAATTAGTGCAGGTGGCTAAGATATACGGGTTATCCTTTGGTTAATTTTGAACTTTATGGTTATCCATGCTTTCCTCTTATTTCTTCTGAACTACTATTCTTATTTTTAGTGTTGATTTGCCGTTAGTATCATTTTTATTGTTTGCACCTTTTTCTCAATCTGTTAGTTTCTTCTGACTCCATTGATATGTGATAACTTTAATTGATAAACATTTGCATCAGTTCATGCATTCATGCTTGCTCATCTGTTCGTTGATCTTCACCAATTGCGTAACAATTTGAATAGTCTCACATTTGTGTTTCAAGACGGAGTTACTTCTCAGCAATATTCGTTATTCAGAATTAAAGTTAATATTTGTACTATTTTCGCCGTTTGCTTTTTCACTAACCGCCTTCATCATTTATGTTTTTCAGGACGTCATATTAGTCACCGGTAGTTCTTTATCTATCACCAATGTATTGTTTATTTTTCTTGTTCCAGATTCCTTGATATTCAAACTTATCATATTAAAGTGTTGTTCAAGATTCCCTGAGACAAGAATATTCCAACTATCCTATTTAGTTAATTTATTCGATTGTAATTAAGTAGAACTATGGGTTGTGTTTAAAGTTTGTTGATTGTAATTGCCATTTACAATAAACTAATTTCTTTGTATGAATTATCCAATTAAGATTATTCTTATATAAAACTATCATCCTTTTGTTTGTAAGACAAGAGACTTCTGTTTGCTTAAAAAGTACCTTATTTACTGTCGATTAGCTGAACTTAGTCCTCAGTTCCGCCTATGTCAACTGTCAGCAGAAGTTAGACGAACTATGTTTGTGTCGCGGTTAGCACTTGTATCAAAGGGAGTGCCCAAAATTATTCGTCTATGTGGCAAGAAATTTGCGTACAAAATAAATACAAAAGAACAACAGTGTTATAAAACATTACTTTCCGAAACCTGGGAATCAGTTTCTCATCAGCATTTTCCAAATGCAGAATCCTCAACAGTTTTAGAAGACAGAAATGTAGATGATCTTCCTGTTCAGAGTTCCAGGAGTAAAACTACGGACTTTAAAGGACCCTTGCCCCAGAGGATTTGAACAAAATTTATTCTGACGAAGATCCATCATTGCCACCTTTGTCTATTACATGCTCAGGATGTGGATCACCGTTACATAGTAAAGCTGCAGGATATCCAGGTTTCATACCCTCGACCGAATATAAAAGCATTATGTTCAGTACGGGGCGGTCACTTTCTCGTTCTAAATACAGAAAACCTGTGCTCACTCTTTGTGTACGTTGTAATCTACTTCAAAAACACACTGAAGCGTCGAAAGTATATACTTTTGCATATTAATCCTAAATAGAATTTAGGAAACAATAAATGAGTCGTCTTTTCTGACTAAAGTAACCCAGGAAATACAAAAATACGAAGATGCGGTTTTAATCGTTATTGCCGATGTGGTTAATCTTCCGCATTCTTTGATTCCGGAATTACATACAGAATTAAAGGGCAAAAGGTTAGTTCTAGCTAATTATTGTTTTCAATCCTAGGTATGTGCTCGTTGGTAACAAAGCTGACCAGTTACCAGGTGATGGACCGCATTTCATAGAGAGGTGGTGCTCAGCGTTGTTGGAAGCAGCGATTTCGAGGAGCAAAATACCAGAAGAGAATATTAATCACATCTCCATCATTAGTGCATTGACTGGTTATGGTATACCAGAACTAATCGACTTCCTGTTATCTAAACGTTTTCATTGTAAAAGTGAGCAGTATTTACGACTTACTTTTATTATTAATATTAGTGATATTTGTTGATAGGTCTTTGATAATTGTGCTTATCCACTGCATTCAGAGTAAACAATAAACCGATCTCCACCAAATATTTAAACAGTATCTGAGTAATCCTTAGATACACTAGTCCTTTACATTGAATACAGTTTTTGTCATAACTTCTATGACAGTATACCCTGGAAACAATACTTCATTCAACTAGTCCCAAACCAGTATACGGATTAGAGTCGAGCGAAAATACACAACAAACGGCGAAAGATAATCTGGTAAAACGTGGAGATTTATATAAAATTTATGCGGAAGTTCTCTAGTATCTTCTCAATCCATCCACTAGCGCTTATTTGTTGAAGATGAACCAATCTACGTGCTTTAACCTGATATTCACTAAAGCGTAGGTGTTTTATAATGAATCTATCAGATGATATTTTTGATCGTTAAAATCAGTGAATATAATGCTAATCGACAAATGAACGTATTGGTATATTGTGATCGAGTGATGGCTACTCACGAGACCATATAATTGACTTAAACCCTTGAAAAATTAGGAATTAAAGACAAGGTCATTAGCCGGATAAGTAGTTTTTCATGCGACGAAATAAACCTGGTTATATACGGAATATGAACACAAAATAAACCTGATAAAATGTGATAGGTGTTCGAATGAAATAAGTTTATGGGCCAGGCATTCTTTAATCAATTAAAACCTGACTTTTAAGTCTTATCTTAATGCATTGTATCAAGCAGTCAAAACCCTATCCTGCTAACATTAGGTTTACCTCTGGACACCATCTGAAATGACGTATCGTACTATTGTTAGTAATAAAGTTATTTTAACATTTTTGTTATTCATGTAAATTTTATCTCACCATGCTGATATGGTGGAACAACTTGGGTTAGGGCACATTTGTTCAGTCACATTATTAACTATAACAGACTGATATAATTAAATTTATATATAGTCATCCAACAGTGATAATATATATATATATATATATATATATATATATATATATATATATATATATATATCGTTTCAATCTATGATGTCAATTTGTCCTCATAATCCTATTTCCACCTTTTTTTTGCAAATTTACCAATTAATTAGTTCAGATAAAGCATATTTTTAATTCTTTTCTTCATAAGGTCCAATATATTTGATAGGTTCTACAAATGTCGGAAAGTCTAGTTTATTCAATCGTTTATTATTGTCAGATTTATGTAAATCAGAAGCCAAAGAATCTATTCATCGAGCTACAATATCTTCGTGGCCAGGTAATTAATTTTTTACCCTATGTTCATATGAAATATATTTCATATTTCTAATTATGTAACAATAATTTTTCAATGGATTTCTTGCGTTACATATATGTCAAAAAAGTATATTAATTTACTGATGTGCGATTAGTTTTCGGTTTGAATTTTATCAAAGCGGATTGTCTTTATCGCAGTTAGATATTAATCGCTAAAATAATACATATTGCAGAGTAACTTACTAGCTGTTTTGTACTATTCTAGAATTTAACAGTAGTGAATATCTCTTTCTGCCGAGATTAAACTTGATTTTTCTTAAAATTTTGTGATGAGATTTCAGTTTGTTGCATCCGATTCTAATGCTTTATAAAAAGTAACTAGCTTAGATCGATTCATGTGTTTAACTATTAAAATTACTACAATCTCCACAAATCCTCATTCTGATAATAATAATAATCATGTTTTCACTAGTGACTGGCTTCAAAATGTAACCCCTGGAATTCTAGTAAGAATTCGTGACCAGTGAAGTTCAATCCGTGTCGGTTGTGATACATTTGTCCACCTCAAGCAGTGAACGGAGAGCTGCGCAATATCATGGATTGATAGGAATTAGATATTAACACCGTTAGATCCCAGTTCAGTAGTTTGGAGATTAAGTGTCTGTGCGCGAAATCGAAGGTCCTGGGTTCAATTCTCGATTATGGTATCGTGGATGTGCATAGCTGAGTCCCATTTTAGGAAGAAACAGTCACCTAGTGTTTCCAGATTTTAATTAGTAGTCTAGCTTAGATTGACTCATGATTTCAACTATGAAAATAAATTGTTTAATTCTGAAGTGCTTAAATGATTATTATTTAAAAAAATATAAAAAAAATACACGAGGAAAATATGTAATTAAGAAGTAAATAGGAGTAAAAGAGTGAACAAGCGTACAAGGAAGGAGAACAAATAAGAAGAATACATTAAAATGAAGATTATGATGAAGAGGTTGAATAAATAGCTTTTGCTAATTTATTTTTGGTAGAAACTTGCGAAAACTCGTTAATCATTGAGCACTATAAACAAAGATGGATGGTGACTAGCAGTGGAATCCACAACGCGCGTGTCTTCCTGTTTGGGACTCGTCAGCTAAATGTACATGCATCCAAGAATTGATGTTTACTCCGAGACTCAAACCCAGTACCGCTTGCTTCATATCCCATCACAGTCCCGGAGTGACCATCAACTCCGATATACAGGTACACCCAGGTGACGAGTCCCAAATAGGACGATATGCACGTTCTTGATTCCACTGCTAGCCACCATTCAACTCTGTTAATAATGCATTTGAGTCAATAGCTACGTCGAGTCAGTTCACACAGGATCCACATATGCCAGAAGAGACTGATCAATTTCAGTCCTAAATATCAATAGGGAGATCCAAACAGCCAATACAAATAAATTACTAAGATCTTTGTTAGACATAACCGATGAATTTAAACTTTTCAAATTGCTTCAGAAACTTTAAAAATTGTGATAAAGTTGTGTGATTAGAAATAACCAAATACCAACTTAATGATGTGAATGTTTACCCTTCTTGGCGATGTCCGAAGGTCCTAGGTTCGATAATGAGATTGTGAATACGCACTGCTTAGAAGTCTCATACTGGGATGGAATGGCTGTTAAGAGTTTCTTTGTTTTTAATTTTCATTGAACTGAGATCAGTCCGTGATGTGATACTGGTCGACAATCTCCACAACCTCTTATACTAACAAATGTAGACATTCAACATAAGGTAGGATTAATCTATCGTTTTGTCATGATGGGAGAGCATGTCGACCAGGCTCTTATACATTGTAAAATGAGCGACATACAAAACCGTTTTTATCCAATTGTTTATAACATCTAATCTTATTATTTCTATACACAAGAGTTGTCTTTTATTATAAGATCAACTTATTCTTCTGATTATTGGTCTTGTTTTTGATTTCAAATCATTTGGGGTCTTTGAGTCAATAATCTGGTCCCGTAAGCAGTTAGTCTTCACTAGACGGCCACTTCGTATCATCACCTTTCATATGTCGACTAACATTCGATTCATCAACCTAGCAATCTGAAAACCTATTAGCTTGTCAAATTCTACTCCATAACAGATTTACACCAATTGTTACGAGATTATAATACACTATATTTTCTTAAAATAACTACTGTTCCCTTGCGATCACGTGATTTCATTTTCATAAATTGTGTAGATTATAGGCAAAACTTCATAAAAAATCAACATCAACGGGAACAGAATATTATGTTTTAATTTAACTCGTGAAAAGTTATTGTCAACTGTAGTAATCGTTGGGTATCAGATTAGTTATAATAAAAACTTATGGTTTGATAAAGTATTTTAAAGTTATAAAAGACGTTCGTGATTGGAATTTGATGCCAAAACAGAAAATTGTGTGGGATTTATTTCATTTACCTATCAACTAACTAAATAAATATGCATAGAATTAACTTTATTTTACGTTGGCTAAAATGAATCACGCCTACATAAATTACCTTGAATTATTTTCTATTGAAATCGATTGTAAAAGAAATTTGACCGTGACCATTACAGTTTCACTTCAGTGTTAAGGACTTTAAGGAATATCAAGTGGTTTCATCTTAATCAAAATGATCTTGCTTTGTTTCTTGACCAAATGACTATTCGAATGTGACTTCTTCAAACAGGGATCCATATAGAAGGAACCATAAAAAAAAACTGGGAATTATAGGCCATTTGTTTTGTTGTGATATTGAACTACTCAGCAGTGCACATGTACGACCCCAGATGAGATGGAACGTAGGTCTTGTAACAAAAAAATACAATAAACCCAATGAGTCACAGTCCTATGGACCTTATTTTGGACTCCACCCGGTTCGCAATATAGCACAGAAGTTGTAAACTAAAACGAAATAGCCGTTTTATGTGTTTTTTTGGTTTTTAGTAGCTTTCTAATGATAAATCCTGATGTAAACCCTTAACAAATTATTCATGAATCCATATCACAACGTAAAACCTGGCACATGTGTGCGCTAGTCCAAGTTATCAACTCTCCGTTGGTGCAGCGACATGAAATTTTCAGGGTAAATCCCAAACTAGTAGAAGTAGTCACAGTATTAGTAGTAACAAACAAGATTGGGCATCAAAAATAGGGTTCGAGAGGAAAATATGTATCAGTGGAATAAAAAAGTTTTATCAAGTAATCTACAAATTCAGGATCTAAGGGAAGACAAAGAGTGAATGTGCCTGGGTCATTGTGTAAGATTTTGAGCTGTATCATCCAGTCTCTAACTACTGGTTACGATAATCACACGGACCTCAGGCTTCTGATGTTCATCAATCACCATATGTTGTAAAATTTTGTGACTAATGAAGATTGTTTGGGTTGACCTTGCAATTAAAATGGTACTTATTAACCGTCATATTAAATGATTGCGAAGCTGTTTTTTGTTAAAGTTGGACGTTTTGAGAAAACTCTGATGATGTAAGCAGAGAAATAAAGCTATGACAAACAACGAAAGCTATATTTGGGGACGCAACTTCACTTAACTCGAAGTTTGTAAAATACTAACACTTAGGTTATTGCATAAACCAAACATATTCTAATTTAAACGTGACCTGTACACTATTTTATACCTTAATGCCCAGTTTGAACATAATTGTATTTTTTTTTAGTTGTTTGTGCGTTGTGGTCGTGTTAGTCATGTATTTATTCACATATCTTTTTACACTAATCTGAATCAGTTATCACGAATAAATCTGGTATTTTCCCAGTTAGCTCATCTTCTCTCCTGTTCTCTCGCTTGTCAACTGATCAGGTGGTAAAATAGTTTTCGTCTCTCTGCCCAAGACCGTTAGTCTCAATTAGAATTCACACATTTCTAGCCTCCAAGTTGAACCAGTTAACCTATCGTGTCAAGGCCTTAATCTAGATAGATTAAGGACATAATACTTGAATTAAAATATCTCATTGTACTTCAATGGGTTAAATAAGCACTTTTGTCATAACCAAAAAGTCCTGTAAAATACTATGTAGGATTCAAATTAGTGGAGTCATAGATCTTATTTATTTTCCTGTTTATATGCACCTCAGTCTATTACAAACTAGTCTATGCATAAGCGTGAGATAAATACTAATATTTTAAAGTTCAAAGCTGTCTTATAATTCAGGGGAGAACTCCCATAATTTTTTTTGTGGAAAAATATTTATCATCCAAATTGTCCATGATTAGATGCAATTGTTTCCTGAACTGAAACTTCCCGATAACAAAATATTTTACTCTCAGTTTGAATATTATCAGTGAAGTGTTAAACAAATTAAATAACAAGTTTATTTAGAACAACTATTGTTTATAACCAGTAATCATACTTTTATTAGAATTCAGTCCAATAACTATATACATGTTGTGTATTCGAGTTTGAGTATGTTTTTATTTCTATAAATGCTTCCAAACCAATGTCATTGAAGTGTGGTCCGAACCAACATAAAACAATCATACCTTGATTTAATCTGGTCCTTCTAATTTGCATTATGTGGTCATGATTGATCTTCTTTACATAAATTATTGGAATTATTGCGATTGTCCATATTGTCTACATACATCAATACTCTTTCTTTCAGTTATCCTCAACAAAGGTCATCATTATTAATTCAGATATCAGCTTTATTGATTCATGTCATGTTTACAGTTAACAACTGGTATACCGATTCCAGTCAACATAGTTCAAAACAACTTAGAAATAATTAGTGGAAATAAAATACTCACGGTCAAGAAATAGCAGAAATTTGTGTTGTCATGGCCAATTTTCACTGTGTTAACATGTAATTTGTATTTCTATCTTGATTATTGATTATTTATCCGTTATTCAATCGGGGGTTAGTAAATACCTCATTGATAACTATTATTCAGTACATAACTTTCTTATAATAGTCTATGCTTGCACTATAATTCTACTGTTCAGGTACTACAATGGGCCTCTTAAGTTTTCCATTAACCTTAATGAATTCAGCTAAACGTGGTCAGCGTATACAATCACGTTATGAACAATCATATCAAAAGACTATACAAAATAGAGAATGCAGTTCATCACATGGTTTCCGATATTTGAAACGTAAGTTTGTTTATAGACAAATAGACTATATATTCTAATATAACTGCAATATTATATGTATCGAGGATGTTTAATTCCTAAAAAAATATCACTTACTCGTTTTCTGTTCGTCTTTTTTACGCAAAAACTAACCACGAGAGCAATCGTTGATGTTTACCGCGGATAATAATATTTCCCCTATTATTCGGTTTTTAATAATATAATTTTTCATCCTCACCATAATTTAAAATACAAGTTACTCTGTTTTTGTAAAAAATATTCTGTTCTCAAATCTAATTAGTTAGTATCATTTTAGGGAATGCTTTAAAATTTAGTCAAAAGCTGACTGATATTTGTAATGATAAAATTAGTGTTTAGTGAATGAATTTACGGCAAACCTTTAAATGTAAAACGGTGATTGAATAGTTAGAGTATTCAGCTTTCAACCAATAGGCTGTACTTTCTAACTACGCTCCATCTACTTCGGTCTGGGCGGTTGAGTATTATCATTGGTCTTCATATAAACTATATATTGTTCAAATCTCAGAACATAAACCTTCAGTTAGCCATTGGATTATGCCTAAGCCTTTGAGCTATATTCTTCACCTCATTTCACTTCAAAGTCCATAAGACAAATAAACGTTCTGGACTCATTTATTGTTCCGTTTGAATGTTCGTTAAAAAGATAATTTATTCAGAAATCAATGCACAAAAATGCTGACCGTGTACTTTTTTAAATTTTTTTTCTAGCAAAAGAAATTGTTCCTGGTATTTGTGACAAACGGTCGGCAAACTATTATGCAGCAAAAAAGGCTCGTGAAACGCTGCCGGATTTGTCTACTATGCCAACATACACATGGAAACCTAATGAAAATTCAAATTCCAACAAATCTGGGATTTGTGTTGGTAGTGAGTTCGGATTAGAACAGTTGGCTTCTGAGTTATTTCCTGGAGATATTTTCATTGACAAAGCTTCTTGGGATGGAGATCAAAGTACTCGATTGCTAACAAATATATTGAATCCAAGATATTTTAATGATCATGCATGGTGTTATGATACTCCAGGTGTTTTTGTAAAGACCAGGTAATTCTTATTTTTGTAAACATTTTGATTTGATATAATAAGTTTAAATATTAGTCACTAGATGATTAGATATACATATCAAAATGTGTAGATTTACTATAGGATTGACCCAATCTGAACTTAGAAAACAACTTTTGAAGTTTTGCGCAAAAGTAGATGATTCTTACGTTATATTCTATGAAAAGCCTTTGAATAATTGATAAGAAAAAACTTTTTTTACTGTCATACATGAGAAACGACAATGTAAGAAAAAACACACAAGAAATACATACTTTTGACGATCCAACTCTCCAGGAAACTACTTTATAAGTGAGTTCACCGAACTACAACGAGCTGGCAGCTTGGTATTGCTGAAATCTATCACTATTTCCACCCAAATATTGGTATCTGATATCTCCATCTTACTTAGTGTAGAGAATTTATTCATTCAAGATTTTGTGGACGATGTGGAATTCCATCTAAATTTATTTGCAAAAATAAGCATTCGCACTCAAATAAGTGAGATTCTGCGATGGTATTTCTCTTAAATATATAATTAGAAAACTGATAATAGACCTTGAAAATCTAGCAAGTCTTCCAATACCGATGTACTCTTACAGGTTTAAATACTTCTCTGAGGGGAGTTTCGATTTATATGGACTCTCTCTATATTGATTGAAAAGTGGCTTCAAAATCATACGATCATTGTTAACATTACTACCGAACCAACCCTATGGTACATTGTCACAGTTACTATAATCTCTTTTTACCCTATGCTGACCAGCACAGGAATTGGTTGATGTTAGTGAAACATAGATTGGATTAAAGCATGCTTCGTGCGCGATTGTGTTGGTATACGCTGATTGGCTACTTCTTATTCAATCGGTGCTAGTCTATAAATATACTAACGTTTCTCTTATTGTGCTTCTTGTTTCCATCTACCCTTGTTATTTGGGATGTAATTTCTTTCCTGTTAAACCGTGTTCTGATTTTTGGACTTGTCGAGTGAATTGGTGTCCAAGAATACTAAGCAATAGGAATAGCTGGGTCGTAAAAAGAGAAAATTATAACAGTTGGGAAAGGACTATGTAAAGCAAAACCAAAACGTAAGATCAGTGCATACAGTTTTTGACTGATAGTATTAACTAGCTAGAGGGGTTAACAAGACAGACACATAGTTGGAGAATTTAAGTGATGCAGTTCAAAATCAGTCGCAGTGACACAGGAATATTCATTCTTTCAGTATCCTTTGAATTTCAAACCAAGTAATATTTCATACTTATGTACTATTTTGCTAAGTCGGACACTTGTTAAGTATGATGACGAAATGAAAGTTTTATATATCATATCAATGTAATTAATATTTAACTAATCACCTCTTTTCATACCACGTACTTGTTTATATGACCTGAAAACAAATTTCTATCAGACAATTTAGTTGCGTCCTTGTGGATGTGTCAAGCGTTGTTGTTTGTTTTTTTCGTCTCGTTCTTTCAAATAAGTAACCCAGTTTATTCTCTTTATCATTTACCTAACGTACACAAGCACATTTTGACTTGTAATTGAGTTATAAAGCAAAAAAATAGATAAGCAAATTTCCGAAATTTTAAGTTAATTATAAAATGTACCTTTTGATAATTAGTAAAATTATTAGTTCATAACAATTAAGGAAAATTATTTTGCACCAAAAATTTAATTACCTGAAACTCTTAGTTCACCATTAATATATCTTTGACTTGAGCTCTATAGTTTGCAAACATTTGCTCTTGTGTTAATTAAAAGACTCTTAATTTGATAGTAATCTTTAATACGCGCAGAAGTAAAGAAAAAAGTATATTAAAACTGCTCAATTATGATTTTGTTTAGTGTAAAAGGAAATAAATCTCGTTCCACTATTTACCCAAGCTTATCATTTCACTGAATTCGATCAGTCACATTTGGTATACTGATTCCCTAATATTAAACGCAGTTACAAGTATGTTTTCGGGAAGTGACTAACAGCAAGATTTGGAATGGGGGGAATTTCGTTCTGTGTGGGTTATTTTACCCACTAAACAAGCTATTGTCTGTCTGGATTCAATAGCTTAATAGATAGTGAGTTACAGTTTGAAATTATTAGCAGTGGGTTAATGATCAACATTAAGGTGTAGATACATTCAACCGATGAATCCCTAGAAGGTTAGAGTGTGCATTAGGGCTTCCACTGTAAATCGCCTGACATATTGTTTGATTTTATGGTGCTATTTCCACGCAAAATTAGGTATTGTGTGTTTAGATCTTTTTTATAACTTTCTTGTGTTGAACTATTCTAACAGCCATAATAGTACTTTATTTCACTAGTCGTCTTATTGTACTACTAAACGTCTGTATAACTTTACACACAAATAAAAAAAATTTTTATGTAACAAGTCATGTTTGTCTTGGACAAAGATAATTCTAAATGAATATATTATAATAATATTCTCTCCTTTTAATGTAAATCTCTAAGAGTTAATTGTAAGCCAATAAATACATAAAGTTCTTGGTAAACTTCATTTTGTTATGTCTATTATAGTTAATGTTTATAAGCTGATAAACTGATTTCTGCTTATACTGGTTTAATAAACTTATGCTTCATTTAAATAAAGTAAAAAGAAAAAGATTTGTAGAATAATATGAATTCATTGTATTTCAAGGTTTCCTGGACAGCTACAGACAACCCGAATTTACATTAGTAATATCACTATAAAACGTTTGTTATTTGATTACTACTGCCATAACTGGGACATTTGAATAATAAGACAGGATCAATTGTAAACATAAGCTATTTTGATGTATTTGAATTTTGATATTTACAGGCGTATGGAAACGAATTCCTATTTGTCATAGACAATGGGGTTAAGATCTTTACTCCCTTTTTTTCATCGGTTTAACGCAGTGTGACAGAAACGTGATAGGAAATTCTGGACTTAATACTTGGGAATCAGAATTAATAAATTGAATAGTCTAATTCAGGCCCCAAAATGCCCTAGTACGTTCGGCCTTTGCCAGGGAAGCCTTACTCACTGCCTTCTCGTGACGGGGGTGTTGTTTACGAAAATGAGAGGACGAAAAGCGAATGTCCGGCGCTTTAACCGGATTCCAAACCAATGATGCACATGGGCTCCAGTATCCTGCGGGAACAAATGGCATATGAACCAATCGTTGGTCACCGGCTACCATGGGACTTCATCTCCTTACGATGCTCCACCGCCTTGTGGATCAGACCTTCAGGTCGAATGCTCGGGGTGTGGCTCCCTAAGAAAACCACCTGCTTCGGTTTGGGCGCCCGGGCAGTATCACAGCCCTCACATATATCGAATGAGATTTGTGTGGCGCATATTTATTTGGTGCCTCCTTGTACCAATATCTATGTGTTAAAATAAATAAATAATAAACTAGTACGTTCGAGGGTGGGTGATTCCGCTCTCCCTTTCGAATGCTCTCAAATGGCCAGGCGTATACAGCCACTGACGAGGAAGTCCTACTCACTACATTCTTGCAGTGGGATGTTGTTTGCGAAATTGAGAGGACGAAAAGCGAATGTCTGGCGCTTTAACTGGGTTAGTGGATTTGGAGGACCAACCTAAGGAAGTTGGAAAACCCTGATTCGAAACCAATAGTGCACATGGGCTCCATGACCCTAAAGGAACAATTGGCGTATGAACCTATTGTTGGTCACCGGCCACCATGGGATTGCCTTGTGGATCAGACCTTTAGGTCGAAGGCTCCGTATGTGGCCCCCTAGGAAAACCATCTGTTTCAGTCTGGGAACCCGAGCAGTATCACAGCCCACACACAAGCCAAGTGACTTGTTTGGCGCATATGTATTCGGTGCCCTTTGTACCAATATTTATGTATTCAAATAAATAAATAAAACAAGATTTGAATACAAGACCTAATTATTAGCTCGAAATCAAGTGCTTTATTTAACCAATTAACTATCACTCTAAAGGCACTTAACTTGAGAACAAACCAATGTGGCGTTTATTCAACTGATTTTGATTTTGGAACTCGACTTTCAAAGTAGCCAATTATTCGAAATTTCATTTTACGCATCGTTGGACCTTTGGTGATGTTTATTCTTTTCTAAATAATAACTTGCCCGAAATATACGTCTAATCGCATAACTTGATACTATTTTGATTTACGCATGTTGTTGATATTTTCTTGTTATGTATGTTACATTTTCCCTAGATTCTTAACTATCTCTCATCAAACTTATTACATTCTATGACTAATTACAAATCAGAGGGAACTGGTATTTTCCACTTACCGAATGGTGTAAATAATAAAGTTTTAATTCCTCGCACATTCGTCATGCGGCCAGGTTTGACACTTTTAATGGGATCACTTGGTCGTTTAGATGTTTTGAAAGTAAGTTCTTGTATTCTGTTATCATTTCTAAGTATGATATTTGACATTCAATATCATTTAATTAATACACAATTCACTAAACATTATTAATGTTAAGAGAAGTACTTTTAACTCACTTTCTAAGTTTGAATGATTCAATTTGTTCTACTAGACCTCATATAGAAAAAAGTCCAAATATCTAAATTGATCACTATAAGTAACATTAATTATCTTGGTAAATACTTCTAATATTGAATATGCAACTCATATAGTTCGTTTCAACTTCTTCGTCATGATGTCAATGATTAAAATATGCTTAAGCAGTAAGAAATAATGACAATTTTCCCGTTTTCCTTTTTTTTTCACTAACAAACGATGAAATGTGATTGTCACAATTCGTATCATATTTTAATTTCTTTTTGCTTATTTTGTTTATTTTTTTTAAGGCTCCAAGTTCTGTTTATTTTACCACTTTTTCTCATCTTCCAATTCATATTGTATCTACAAAAGAAGTTGATGAGTATAAAAGTCGATTTTCCAAATTTCTTATGCCAAAAATTAAAAATAATTCTGTAAATACTGATAATAATTATAATAATACAGCTGGACCTTGTGGTTTACTACCACCAATGCAATCAAAAAATCTTGATCCTATTGAAACTGTACCTAATTTAGATCAGTCCAACATAGATGTTGTTTTATCCGGAGCAGGTGAGTTATTTCTTATTCTCATGAATTTAAAGTACATTACACGTTACTTATATATATAGGCATTTAATCTATTTATTTTTAATTAACAGAATGAGGATTTGTGGAGATTGTAGTAATTTTAATAGTTGAATTCATGAGTCGATCTGCGCTACCCCACCATTTAAAACTTGGAAGCACTGGATAGCCGTTTCGTCCCGGTATAGGACTCCTTATTAGTGCATGCCCAAAATCCCACACCAAGCTAACTCGAACCCAGGACCTTCGGTCTTGCGTGCGAACGCTTAACCTCTGGACCGCTGAGCTGGGATCCAGTGGTGTTAATGTCTCTTTAATCTATTTCGACCATGTATATTTTACTTACAACTATTGTGTGATGGGGGTTTGAAGACGAGAAATGAAAGTTACTGGAATAACGTATTTTGTTTGTTGGGAGTGATCGTAAATGCATGTCTAAAATATCAAGGGACCAGATGCTTACCCTTTTTTCTTGAATCCTTGTCACACAGTTAGATACACTCAACTGAAACAATTTGGAACAGAAGCGATTTGCTGTAGAACTCAAATATTTTAATCAACTGATCATTAAAGTCATCAATACCATCCTATTCAACTACTCACTGTGTCCACTGGACACGGATTTGACTCCACTGGTCATGAGTTCTCATAGATCGACTGAAGCTAGACATTGACACCGTTGGATGCCGGCTCAGTGGTCCAGAGGTTAGGCGGTTGCACACAAGCCCGAAGGTCCTGGATTCGAGTCCCTTTGGCGCGGGGTCGCGAATGTGCACCAATGAGGAGTCCCATACCAGGACTAAAGGGCCGTTCAGTACTTCCAGGTTTTCAATGCTGGTCTAGATTAGACTGACTCGTTTTTAGTCCTTATACTTCTTCTGGGAAGTGTAATAGTTAACTATGCTAACTAACTGTTCAAGCAAAATATAGTCTACATGTAATCTTAAATTCAAAATCTCGATGTCTTGTGAAAGTCAATAAATGGTAATGGATATCTGTTGATTCAACTGTTTTTGGATAAAATTATTTATTGAAGTAAATCTTTATATAGTTCCACTGTTTTCCATTGATATTTCGGAAGCGCGAAATCATAAAGTGAATTAATAAAATTTAACTAATTTTTAAAATTACGTCAGCGATAATTTGGTGAGACAAATTATCCAGAGTTATTACTTGTCTATCATGTGGATAGGTGATATGCAGATGATTGTACTTTGTCTAGACAGTTATTATCCAACAAATCTACGCGCATTAATATAAAGTGAGTAGTTAAGAAAGATGACCTAAGAAAGCCTATTCATAATGTCCCATTACTTACACGTGTTTTGAATCCAGTTTGTTCCGTTGTGCTTTATTGTTGTGAAAGATACCCTTTAAAAATAGAGAATATTTGCAAATGAGCAGTAAATGATTATCGATGTTTTCCAAGGATCGTTCACGTATGCCAGGACCACCAAGTAAATAATGCTAAAACTATATTTATTGTACTGAATTAAGACGATTAATAGGTTGATGAGGTGGTGAATCTCCATCCACTGTAGTGGTTGGGACATATATTACATATGCCGAATCACCATCTACCTCAACTTACGATGTTTGTTGATAGAAGAGTAGGTTGAAGGAAAGCTAGGTGCTATCAAACTAAAATATGTAATTAGTTCATGAAGTTATTAGCCGTTGGTCTGAGCCATATTTATGGATGCGGACTCTATTCAGTTCAGATCCATACGGCTATCGTAACTAATAGTTGATGGCCTTGAGTAACATCACTTAAAATCGTTTACAATTCCCTCAGAGGCATTTGCTCCTTGCTTTCCCGTGGCTTTTTAATTTTAAAATGATCTTATACTCTATTCCACCGGTTCATTCATTTATTTCTTCGTTAAGCACATTTAAACCAATGAAAACAATCTTCATAGGGAAGATAACATTGGTTACTGATGTTAAAATAAATAAAAATCACTTTTTTGTCTTAACCTGAATCACGTATTCATACAAATATTTGTGTTAAACAAACTGTGTATTTATATTTTCTGATCTACTATTTACTCATTAAAACAATATTATCAATTTACTTACATATGAACATCTGGTTATCAGTGATCGTTTAGATCATTGTATAATCCTCATTTCAACAGAAATATTGTCAACATGGAATGTTGTTACTGTGATCGATTCGTTAAGAAGTTCACTCATTTGTTACGTTTTATTTGTTCCTTACTTGCTCTTCATCAGTAACACATCCATGAAATCACAAATAAAGGAACAGTTTTCTTTATTTTTGGGTTACAAATGAATTCAGATGAATAGAATAAAACATAGGGATGAAATTGTAGAAAGGTTAAGGAGAGGAAAAAGGGGGGCATGAATGTAGTTAAAAATAAATAAATGGATAAAAATAAGTGGACAAGAATAGTATGTTATTCGAAATACAGTTCGGTTAAAGATATAATCAAGATAGACTTTTTTCAGTTAGTAGAGTTCTCGCTTTCATGAAAAATGTAGGAGGAAACTACATCAGGACCTCCATTAGCTTCTGTTCTGAGCTATGTCTGATAGCCATTACGTTGCATCAACTCTTCGATCTCTGTAAGTGAGCCATAATTGACCAATTTATCATAATCGTAAACAGCTTTCTTTCATAATACCTCAACTTTCTCCATCTCGCCCAGTGTCTGTTAAGAACGCAATAAGTAAAAGACTCCGGTATAACATTCTCAGAATATGACCAAGTCATTCAAGTTAGTGTTTCATGACGGTAATGCCGGTTGAATTATCATCATTGCACCTGAACACATTGTCAAATCCCAACACTAATAACATAGTATCGCCATTAGTTGTCAGCAATCGTTTAGTAGTAATAATCGAACATGGAGAGTTTCTGGAAACCAGGTTTCATAAATATAAAGTAAAACTCTTACTGATGAGTTGTAGGCATGACACTTAATATATTATTATTGCTTTGTTTATGATTGTTTTTCGTAAGGTTTCCAAAAATACATCTGTACCTGGTTTCATTTGTTTAGTAACAATATCATAACTGAAATATGATGTGGTATTTTGTGTTATGAGTGCTTGATGTAAGTGTTCTAATTTCATTTTGTAGTTATCAATGTCGAAGTTGGACTTGATAGTTTCCTTTGTACTATTTGAACTTGTGTTAATTTTATTTCGTTATTTATTTACCCTGAAGCAATGGCTCACATTAAGTAACAAAACGTCAGAAATACAATTTTCTACTCATTGAAATATCACAAATGGTATATTTATTATTAATTTAATTTCAGTTTCAAAATGACTTGCTATTTTGTTTTTTTTATAATCCTAGGATGGATCAGTGTAGCTGGTTTATCAAAGACCAATAAGAAATTACTAGATGAGAAAGATTCAGAAGAAATATCTACTGAAAACAGTGTTGTTGATGATGATAACGATAATAATAATAATAATGAATTGTTTTGTGCTGATATCTTATTAGCAGCATGGACTCCTGGAGCTTTAGGTATTTCATTAAGAAAGCCTTTAATTCCATATGCAATTAAACGTCGCGGTCATCGTTTAAAATGGTTAAGAGAATTCTCAGGTATTCGATGATCTTTATAGTTGTGATTAGTTTTTCTGCTGACTCTGTAAAATAAATAAATAAACTTCTATCACTCAGAATTTAGTTTTTTTTTATTGTTTTAAGATTAGTAAGTATTTGGTTGGAGACATTTTTTTCTTTAGTTGTAGGCGTTTCAGTAACATGCTCAAAAGTTGTTCCCAGATTATCGACTCATGAATAGCTATTTGTGTTATAGTATTCTAATTACTTTGGAATTTGTTGATTATTTAAATGTCTCTTTATTTCCTAAATTCATTTCATTCTATCGAGTTTATGAAAGAAATGCGTGTATTTTACGTGTTTGGCGAAACAACTGGCAGATCTGTCTAAAATGCGATCTGGGTCAATACATGAGGACTGGAAGAAATCATAGACACACACGAATGTAATATATTCAAATATATGAATCGAGTACGTAATCATGTACTTAACATTTATCCTTTAATTCAAATACCACAGTCTTGGAAACCGAATACCGTGTGATGTCTAACTAAAAATGATAACATAGCATCTAATTAGAAGTATTACAATTGTAACACTACTAATAATAATGTATTTTCTAAAAACAATTACGGAATACATCTGAATTTTCATTCACAATTACCGTAATGCCATAAAAAATTTACTGATATTTCATCATTCATCTTGTACACAATTAAATAAATGAGAGATTGTAAATACGAGAAGTATTATTGCTTATAGTGGAGTATTTGTAGAATATAAGAAGATAACCAGGAAAGTCGTACGTGACGTTCAGCAGTATCTATAAACTTTTCCTATTTTGAAAACCGTTGACTCATTTAAAAAAATTGCTTTTATAGTAATGGTTGAATGTTTTTCTTCAAGAATCCTTCGGAAGTTTATGTAGAGGTGGAAATTTGATAGGAGCAACAAATGCATCAAACGATCGTTAAGTTAATTCATCTCATTTAAGCCACTGGTAACCAGAATACTGGTGCGAATGTAGTATTCTGTAACTTAGCTTGCGTTCCAGTGAACAACTAAACATGATTATTACAATGATAAGCAAAATACTGTAAAGTATATTCTTTAACCCTAGAAACCTCTATTTTGTGTTCCATAGTCCTTTAATATCATGCCTATTCATGAAATAAATCATGCTCAAACAGGAACTCCAAGTACACATCTCGTGTGCGGTATTGGGTTCAAATAACTATAAATTTTATGAATATACCCAGAAATAGTACCTATGAAGGTTATGCTTTAATTGTCAAGACATCGTTTATATCGGCATGTGATACTGATTAGAAGAGAAGATAGACGTACAAATCTGGAGTGACAAATTTACAACGCAACACTAGTTTCTAAGTTCTCTTACTGTTGCCGTTATGTAGTGCAAAATACTTCCAGAGTAAACTACCCGAGTTGATAGGAACCAGTAGTCGCAGATTTTTTATGTTACGTTTAAATTTCTATCACAATCGTGCAAATACATTCTTCGTTTTAAATCCTCAGTAGCTCACTCCTATTCTCCTTTTCTTCAACTAATGTCGTTTGTCTTTTCTCGGATAAATGATTTTTTTTCAATGTTTTTGCAAGTTATAACACAATGAACTAATATCCCATAAATTTACGTTCTTTAGTACTATCTATCAGATTTTGTCAGCCTTTCTGATAACTCTTGCTAATTGAACGCTGTATTCGCTTCCTGAGCTATTCTCGTAACCCCCAAGCTAAAACTACACAGCGACCTGAACACGAGAGAAAAGGTGCAAAATATGCGAGAAGCACTCTACTCCAGAGGTTCGTTTTAGTACAGAAAATATAGGGTTTTTATAGTATTTTAGAAGTGTTTGGGTTTCCCGAAAATTCTGAAATGCTACTAAACATAGAAGCAGCATAGCAATCAGCCAATCAGAAACCCTATATGTGACTTTTTACTTTCGTGATGTTTCTGGCTAGACTTCTAGTGAATGCTGATTGGATAAAGTGCTTCTTAGTGTTTCCTGAGCCTTTCTTGTCTTTTGCGAGAAGTTTTCTGGATCACCCCAACACTTCCTACTTTCGATGTTTTCTGTACACAATTCCATGTTTTCGCAATGAAACAGGTAGACAAAAATCATATAGGACGACATGGAATTCGGTCGGTTGTAGGGTGTATGAAAACCGAATGCTTTAATCACTAATTCCTAATGAAATGAGATTACGCATCGCACAACAATGCTTTATTATTTTTGTTATTATTATTATTACTGTCACCATTAATTCATTGTGTTTCACTACCATCTCTTTGACCATATTTATGACATGAAATAATACATTATTTTAATAATGAATGAGAAAGAAATGTTTTTCTGAAACTCAAAGTGAGACAGATGAACGTATTAATAACAAAATTATAAAACAATTCGTGGCATATTATCACTAATTATTATTCAACATACATCTATATGTGAATATTATAGTATTTTGGGAAATTATGTCAATGAATAATTATTTGATTCTAAGATTGTTTTCATCAAGATCGGTTGAAAAATAATAAAAGAACTGATAAGCTGTTTCAGACTTCTCAACAATGTGGATTCATGGCATACATTCAACTGGAATTTAGCCACTTTATTGAAATCAATAGATTACTGAAATTCTGCAGATGTTATATGTAAAGATCGACATTCGATCCACTGATGAACATTTGTCTTCGTACCCAACTTGGATCTAAAGATCATAGGTTGTTGTGACATGCACTCCTAAAGAAATCACTATTAGGCATGGAATTTTAATGTTGCAGAAGTTTAATTGATACGCTATTTACATTCATCAAGGAAAAATATTAGTTGTGAAAGCGCTGAAAACTAGAAAGCTTTAAAAAGCGTTGATTTACAAACGATCTGTTATTTTTAATAGAATTCCTAAGACAGACCAACTCATATATAAATTAAGAATAAAGCTAAGCGTTACTTTCAACTGATTATGCACTCGTTAGCTATAATCTCAACAATTTCAATAAACTGATAGTTTGGCATGGATGTATTCAGTATCCTTAATAATCTGTATAAGTAGATTTACAGTTAATATGTATAAACAAAAGTCAGAGGGTTTTATTTCATTGTTCATTTTTAGAATAAATACATCAAAGTCGTAAATTATAGTTTTCATAAATCTATTTATATTCGTGCCACAATCTTCGGTGCTTTAACAACTCTTGAAGAATAATACAATCCTGAGTTACTACAGTGTGAAAACTGGTGATAGTTTGGTTGTTAAAGCCTTGTTTATGAATATAAGATAAAATAGGTGTTGGCTTCCAATCACTGCGATTAATTACTAATTGATTGAATATTTTAATCAAAGTTTCCTATATTTTTATACTGTTAATTGTACAGGATTATTCCCTGGACACAGATGTATTCATATACTGTTTTAATTCACTTGAATGCACTTTAGTCACCATGACAATAAGTGCGCTTGTTTTTTTCTGTTAATTAAATTATGTTACTATCCCTTTTTCTTGTAAACTTCTCACAACTATTTTCCATTTCTTATAAATTGAATTATAACTGTGATGTATGGTCGATGTATTCTTGAAGTATGCCTTTTTTTCTGCTCCTTACAATACCCTTATATCCTTCCTTTTGTATTTTTTTTCCAATAAACGAACGTGTTAGTGTTTACCCTATCGTTTTACTTCATTTCGTGTATTGATTTACCTGAAGAGTAGGAAAGCAATACAACGATGTATATATGCGTCTCGAGGGGTTTAGTTTTACCATTAAAAGTTTGGTGGACTGTGAAAGTTAGCGAAAACTAATACAATATGAACAAATAATATCACTGCTCAGATTGGAATAAGCTTCAGCACCTTCGATTTGACAGAAGACAATTCTATTCACTGAAATCAATCGTAGAATTATGTTGGGGACGAAAACCATCTAGATGTTCGTATATAAGATTATTATTACAGTGTTATTATTTCTTTTTGTCTTAGTAGAGTGTAGTCAGATAAGTTGAAGTATGAATTAAGTAGTACAAATAATTTATCATGACCTTGATTACGAGTTCAAATCGAATGTATCATTGAATACCAGCAATCATAATCAACGTTAAAAAACGAATTTTTTTCAAGTTTGCTATGAATTAAGCAAACAAAAGTTGGATAAAAATTACAAAAGTAGAATAATTGAGACAGTATCTGTTTATTTTGCTGTATCAATGTTTCAATTATCGTAGAAATGCAAAAACACATGAATGAAGATGACTGTAAATTATCCATAAGTAATATTTAAGTTTATTTATGTATTTCTACATCGATATTTTTCAATGTATTTTAAAAATTTCTCCCACTTATTAGTTAACACATAAAAGAAGTGATAAGTATCTCAAATAACATTTTAATATAGGTAACCTGAGAAGATTGTTTAATCTGTGATTAGTTTTTATCATGGATTGATATACAATAGAGAATCATTAAAAATCAAGAAGTAGAAAGCCTTCCTAACAAATGCCGACTAACATGAAACGTAGGTTTAGGCTTTCTTGTCGATTACCTACAAACACCTAGCATTGTTTATATTGCTCTATAATCATTTTTAAGGATTAATTTTGAATGAAATGTAAAGATTTGGATGCCGGCTCAGTGGTCTAGTTAGTTAGACGACTGGCGCGAGACTGATAGGTCCCGGGTTCGAATCCAGCGAGGCGGGGTCGTGGATGTGCACTGCTGAGGAGTCCCACAATAGGACGAGACGGTCGTCCAGTGCTTCCAGGTTTCCCATAGTGGTCTAGCTTCAATTGACTCATGATCTCAGCTGTTGAAATTTTACTTATCTTTAAAACCAAAAGAAAATTTTCTAATTTGTTGATTCCTAAACATGTATACAATTCAATGTTATTTAATAATTCAAAACAGTATATGACTGATCAAAAGACTGATAATAACTTTAGCGATCTTCAGACGTTTGTTTATTCTTTGGATCATTATTTTTGGTCTGTAATTTCCTGGATATTAAAGTAAACAATATTACAAATCTCC